CCCATAAACAACTGCATGGCTCCGCCCCTTCCTTACAAACCACTACGTGGCTCCTCTCCTTCCCTATAAACAACTGTGTGGCTCCTCCTCTTTCCCCATAAACAACTGTGTGACTCCTCCACTTCCTCATAAACAACTGTGTGGTGCCTCCCCTTCCCTATAAACAACTGTGTGGCTCCTCTCTTTCCCTACAAATACTTGCGTGGCTCCTCCCCTTCCCCCTAAACAACTGTGTGGTCCCTCCCCTTCCCTATATACAACTGTGACACCTCACCTTCCCCCATAAACAACTGCATGGCTCTTCACCTTTGCCTGTTCTTTTTGGTCTCAGTGGAGTAGCAAAGGAGGAGCGTGTGTGTCTGCATTTCAGGAGGAAAACAGAACAATAAAAACAAAAGTAATTTCTCAGACATCTCAATTTTAAAAACAAAAGTCATCTCTCAAACATCTCGATTCCCATTATTCGTTTTAAGAATAAAAAGATTTGTATTATTTGCAAATGTCGCATTTCTAATTTGTAGTTTGGACACAGATGGAGGAACATCTTGGCTCAGAGGACAGGGTCACCTGTGGGTGCTTATGAAGAGGGACTGCTGCTTGTTGAGAACAGTAAAAATGATGCATGCTTTCACAATAAAGTCTCCAAAAGTTTAGTAACACTCAAGAAACATGTAATATATTCAGCAAGTTTTATTTTTTTGTGAAAGAGTTTGAATACTTTCAAAATAATGACAAAGTTGCTAAGTTTGCAAGACTGCAGCAACATGGCGCTATCAAAAGTGATATTTTTTAAATAAAATACCAAGAACCTTGTACAGGTTCTTGATCCAGTGATTGGAGACCTCTCAAGTAGAATATGAACTGTTCCTATTTCCACAGATCCTCACTTCAAAAGATCTGAAAAGTACTTTATATTATGCTCGTTTTCCTATTTGTCACTTTAAGCTGCAGAAGTGACATTTTCTTCTGTGTTTAAATTTGATTCTCACTTCCTGCTGGCTTTGTGTGACACTCCAGGTCAAGGCCAGCGCCATCGCCCAAGACCAGGACCAGAGTTATGACTACGCCAGCAACAGTGTCATACTTCATTTGGATGCGGGCGATGAGGTTTTTATAAAACTGGACGGGGGCAAAGCTCACGGGGGCAACAGCAACAAATACAGCACCTTCTCAGGGTTCATCCTGTACGCTGACTGACGACCGGACTGGTCGCGAGCACAGAGGTGAAAGATCACAGGTGGCAGACATTTAACTTTCTGACATTCTTGCAGTTTGGTTATATTTGCCCACAGCCACTGATCCACAGTCAGACAGTTTGCAGTGATCTTTGAAATCTGCATTAATAAAGTGATTCTCGCTGTGGAGTCGTAGTTATCAGTTACTCTGTGCATCTTCGTTCTTCTGTTCATTGTATTCTGGGTGCCTATGCTGCTATCATTATGGACACGAGCAATGTGAAAGTGTCAGTCACGGCCATGTGTCATCCTGGGCGCGGTAACATTTGTGCCAACGCAGAGGCCTCACTGTCATTCCTGAGCTGTCATGTCACATTCAAATCTGGAAATCCAACAGTCGGAGTGGCCACAGCCTCTAATGTTTATGTACTCTTCGAGAAAATCTGTTAAGATTTTATTTTCTCATGTTGTTTACGCCAGGGGTTCTCAAACTTTGTGGGTTCAGGGACCCCTTTTAGGGGAGAAAAAGTTTCAGGGACCCCCTCATAAACCTCATGTTTATTAAAAAAAAATCCTTCAAATTGTCTCTTTAATGCAATGGAAATATTTGTGTAACATAAATACGTAAGACCTGTTCTTTAATAGTGTTAATACAATTTTTATACTTTTAAACATGGGGTACTTTTCATTCAAGACACACTTAATTAACAAAATTTTAAATTTCAACTTCCAAAATTTACAATTTTGAGAAAATTAACAGCGTCAAAAACCACTTTTAAACTTTACCTATTCACCTAGTGAACATAAATGTATTGCCACTTCAAATTAGTACAGAAAACTACATAAAACTAAACAGAATCATAAGAGCAGTTGTCATACCAAGTAACAGGGCTTAGTTTGTAAACCGATCAAGGCCGAAACACAAATAGCGGGGCGGGGCGGTGGGAGGGGGCGTGTCTGGGGGGTCCTCCCCCAGAAAATTTTGAATAAAGTAGATGTGATTTCTTGCATTTTGGTGTATTTTAACAGGTTGTTAAACATCTACGTGCTACTTTTTATACTATACTTACGATACTTTTTTTATTTTATTTTGGGCGGACCCCCAGGGGTCCAGGGACCTCAGTTTGAGAACCACTGGTTTAACAATATGCAATCATTTGCTAATCTCACAAACCCATATTTTATTCACTGTGGAACATACCGTAATAAACAAATTAAATGAAATGCTGAAACTCAAAAAAAAAAAAAGTACCAAATTTAAGAGAAAAAGAGACGATTTAGTCTTAATTTGGTAAATTTAGCAACAGTAAGAAAACTGGATATAAAAGTTTATAGAGGCTGAATCTCTCAGAGGTAAAGATGGGCACAGGTTCACCAGTCAGATAAAACAAACAGTGTTTAACAACTGTGGAGCGCTCACAGTCTTCAAGGCTGAAGGTCAGTATTGGGTCCATGTGCTCTTGGGGCCCTCACACGGCGCTGCATTAAAAACAGTCTGATTCTGTTCTTGACATCACTTCTACAAATTACTGTTTTCAAACACGGTTTACCACGTCTTTCACAAATGCTGGTTGAAGCTCTATTATGCAAAGGACAAGCCATATTTGAACACAATCCGGAAACGCCGGCATCTTTTCTGAGCCAAAATTATTTTAACATTTTTTAAAAAGACCAAGTGAAAAACTGTTCTGCAGTCAGGGAAATCACCTATTATCAGAGCTCAGTTCAAAAACCTGCCTCTCTGATGGTATGGGGGTGCATTAGTGCCTATGGTTTACAGACTGTTATTAAATCACGAGTGGTTTAACAGGGGTAAGCTTGGCCTGCAAGCAAGCATCTTAATTTGATGAAACAAATGGTGCAACCTTTTAGTTTAAATATTTGACATGTTCCACTGTGAATAAAATATAGGTTCATGTTCTGTTTTAATTTACATTTTACACAATTTATGAATTTATTTTTTGGAATTGGGGTTGTCTTATAATTTATCCTGCATAAGTGGAGGAGGGATTTTTCCTGAAGAAGTTGGTGAAATACTACACATCAACATGAAAATACAATGTTTGAATGCCAGCGTGTATGTCTCAGTGCTTCCAGCGTGACGATTTGGAAAAGCATGTCATATCTGTCCGTTATGTTTGACATTTTGTATGTGCATAAGCTGTCAATTCAATATTGAATTTTGATGTCTTAACAAAATCAAACCAGTATTAGCATTGTACATTCTATGGTGTGTTTAATTATAATGTACCTGATGATTGAAGGCTGTATGATGTCATCATGTAACGTGCTTATTTGTAATTTAATACGTTGAATAATGCATGCACGAGTTGAAATGTTCTAAAAAGTAAATAAGTTAGTTTTAAAAGTTAGCCTGGGGCTCGGAAAGCATTTATTGATGTTGCTTTTACTAGTACGTTTTAATTAAAAGTGACTTTATTTTGCATTTCTTCACAATTATGTGCAGCCGGTGTCACTCACCTCTCCGGTTTTTCTGATCAGCTGTTCTGATCCCTCATTATACTGTGAAACCAGCCTTTAGCCTTCTAAATGTTACACACAAAAGAGCTTCGGCGGCACAGCAAGAGGCAATCAACGCGCAGGATATCACAGCTGTGTTAAATGTCAAATGAAGCAGGAGATTATTGAGATTCACGATCAAAAGAGGGATGTGCAGTTTTTATGTGATGGCTGTGCAGACGGTTCGACACAACGGGAGACGGGCGTTAGAACATATCATGACGAAGCTCAGAGCCACGCCGTGAAGTAATCCGGGCCAAATAAGGCTCAGCAGCGACTGCGACACGAGTGTCAGAGACAAGATAAAATAGCTTGCAGGCGAGAGCTGTTAAAACGGTTTGTTTTCTCGACGGCTGCTTTGACAATGTGGAATTCTTCGGACACGATTCACCTTTGACACGGGGACGCAAACACTGTCCCTGATCCGACTTGACGCACGCAAAAGTTCAAGAGAAAAAGTTTTGAAAGCGTGCACAATTTCATGTATTTATTTATATAGCGCCAAGTCACAACAGAAGCCGTCTCAGGACACTGGACTGAAACATTCATATACATTTACAGTAAAAAGCCAATTAGTAAAAGTTCTCTATCAGCAGATTGAACTGAGTTCACTTCGTCACAGTCTCCCATCCTGAGCAAGCACAATAGGTAACAGTGGAAAGGAAAAACTCCCTTTTAACAGGAAGCAACTTCTAACAGACCAAGGCTGAGGACGAGCAGCCATTTGCTTCAACCAGCTGGAGTTTGGGAGGACAGGAAGAAGAAACAAACACAGAATGGCAGGTCCAGGTGTACTTGCTATAGGAAGAAAGACAAAAACATGTTAAGGAGAGAAATACAAACACAAACAGGCACAGTAGAGCAAAGACAGTAGCAGAGTGACAAAATGTGGTCAGTTTGTCCTCCAGCAGTATATACCAGCCTAACTAAAGGATAGCTCAAGAAACCCAAGCCAACTCTAACTATAGGATTTATCAAAAAGGAAAGACTTAAGCCTAATCCTGAAGTAGACATGGTGTCAGCCTCATGGACAGAAGCTGGAAGTTGGTTCCACAAGAGAGGAGCCTGATAACTGAAAGATCTTCCTCCCATTCCGCTTTTGGAAACTCTAGGAACCGCAAGTAAGCCTGCAGTCTGAGAGCGAAGTGCTCTGTTTGGGAAGTATGGAACAATAAGATCCGTAATATAAGATGGGGCTAGGTTGTTGAGGGCTTTGTATGCTAGAAGTAAGATTTTGAATTCTACACATCGCAGATAATTTTGTTACATTGTAAAATGAAAACAATATTAAAGTGAAAAGACGCAGCATTTTGTGAACGACTGCATATCACCTGCTGCCTTTAATGCCAGAGTTGAACACAAAGCTCGTGACACTGTAATCGTGAAAAAAAAACCTCATCATGACGGTTGGAGATATTTGGTCAAACCTTGTAAATAACTTTTTGTACCATCTCATGCAATTTTATGAAATTTGTTATTTTATATATTAATGCAACTATCACATGAAATTTTAGCTCCATATCTGTGAAAATGACTGAGTTATTACCATTTTTGTGTTGACCTAAAGTTTGAGTTTCTAAAGTTTATTGGCTGTGGTGGCTATCTTGAATTAGGCTGTCAAAAGGTAATCAGTAGCAGAGATACATCCAGTGATTATTTTCTGAAAGTTTCCCACAAAATGGTGAGTGGCTCACGAGATATTTTGCTAACAGACAGCGCTGACGTTAACAGTTAAAGTTTGAAGCAGTGGTGTTGTGCAATGAGAAGCACTCAAAGTTAATGTTGTGGAAAATACTTGTCCACTACTAAACCAAATTCTAGCTCAATATCAGTAAAACTGACTGAGTTATAGCCACGTTTGTGTTTTCTAAGTGCAGTTGGCTCTGGCAGCCATCTTGAATTGGGTTGGCTCCAAAATGTAAACAATTGCAGAGGGACAACCATTGATTGTTTTTTTTAGAGTTTCATTAAAATACATTCACAGGTTTGTGACATATTTTGCTAACAGACAAACATAATAATCCTGCACAGTCTGTTAGCCCTCAGAATACATGTTGGGGGTCAGTATCAGCTACTACTCCACCTAATCTCAGCTGAATCTCTATCAAACTGGATGATTCATTGCAGTTTCGCCAATGTTGCGTAGCTGTGGCGGCCATCTTGAGTTAATGAGCTTATAGTTAACAGAACAACTGTATGTAATAAAACCAGTTTCTGTTAAGAGTTGAATGCATCGAGCTCAGGTGGCAGATTTGACACACGGTGCGGAAGTCTGTTGAACTGATGGATGCGTCAAACACCAACGAGGCCTTTCCGCTCGAAACTCGAGCTGAAGACAGCAGAATTCCTCCAGACACAATTAGGACTGAAGTTTTTGTGCATAAGCAGAGGTCATCGGAGCCACACGGCCACGGAGTGCCAGCACAGGCTGTCTTCTCCTCGCAGGCTGCATGAGCACATCATCACATTAGAGACTTCATGTCACGACGTCAAAGACAAACGCCCCTGGTGTGCGAGAAACCGCTCTCACTGCTGAGACGCTCGGAAATCAG